GGAAAAAAAAAAAGCTTCTTTGTGAAAATACCTGACAGAAGTGAACTGGCAGAAAACTGAGGTCTGTGAAAGCCAAGGACTGGAACGCTTCGCCCAGGAAGGTGTAGAAAAGACGCGCATTTCTCAGTGTTTGAGTTGTGGGTTATAGAACACCCCCATGCCGGCCCGGCGCACGGTGACGGCTACCTACCCCAACCCCTCAGGGTCCAGAACTCCGGGCTTCCCAAAGCTGCGCCCATCAAGGTAAGCATAATGATAATCATTTTAAGAAATTAAAAACCACACCCTCAGAGCCGCCCAGCCAGAGCAGAGGGGCTGCCCGTGAGGAGCCTGCCCCCTGGTGGCTAGGAACCGCCGCTGCACACCCACAAAGGCCTAGAAGAAAATCAAAGTAAAATCAGCTGTTTTTTACTGGCCCACAACTCGTACCACACTAAGAGAACTTCTCTCCAGAAATACCATAGCTGGCTCCAACCATATCTCAGTTTGTGTTACGCTCACTGCACTCCACGACGCCCCACAGAAACACCTCCCCGCACTTCCTTGTCCACAGGCTAGCTCAGGGCCCCGCGGAGCAGCCAGGGCCGCGCACACTCATGGAGAGAGTGAGCCGGCAGGCTGTCACCAGGAGCTGGCCGTGGTCCCCACACTGGGGCGCTCCTGAGGCCAGCCCTGCTCCTCCTGGGTGCCCGGCGCACGCTCCGGTTCACACGCTGCAGCCCGCAAAGACGCGTGCCGGGGGACGGAAGGGCACACTGCCAGCGAAGACTGAGGGCAGCACACACCGGAGGCTCACCCTACGGCCGACCCCGAACCCTGGGCTCTCACCTCCGCCGCCCTCCACACCCCACCCCCACTTCCAGCCTTCACTCACTGTCAGAAATCAATGCTTCCAGGTCTGGAAATCCAGCCCAAGCGCTCCCCTTGCTCTTAATTTGAACATGCAAAACCACGCCAGGTACTTACCCTTCACCGCCCCACCAGCACCTCACAGCTTCCATATCCGAAGGTGGAAACATCACTCACAGGTCTCTTACTGCTCTCTCCTCTCACCTGACCCGGGGGCCACCCTGTGTGCTCCCACCCCGGCCAGCCCAGGTCAAGCTCTGGCCGCCTGTCACCGCCTCTCACCCAGGATCACCCCACGCCCTGGTTCAGCTTCCTCCACCACCGTGCAGGCGGCCAGCAGTGCTCCCCTCCCTGTCTCGCCGGCCCCAGTTCCGCCCCAGGGGCCCGAGACCAGCCCAGAGCACTTCCACAGCTCATGGGGACCTGGCTGCTACCACGGTACCATCTGCTGGAGAGGATGCCGATTTCTTACCCAGGTTTCCTGCAGGATGTGACCAGTGACGCGTGCGAAGTCCTGTTCCCTCTCCTCCACCAACACCCCACCTTTCTCCTTGCCTCAGCTCAGGCCCCAAGCTCATCTCCCACCCCTTCCGAGCTACCTTCAACTCCCCGTGTCCGCCATGGGACTGCCTGGTGCCCCCACTCCCTGGCACCGTCTCAGCCTCCTCTCCCCGCCCCTGGACCCTCACTCGAGTAACAGCCACCGCGAAGGCTGAGGCCATGCTCAGGACTGAGAGGCACCTCCAGGACTGCTCCCACACTGCCCTCTGCGTCGGCCGCTAAGGCCCTGGATTGTGGGGCCTGCTCACTGGCCTCTGCCCGGCCACACGTGAGCTCCTTGTGCTTGGGTCCGGAACGTAAACGTGCCCCGCGGTTGTCTGACATGGTTGTCTGGGTGGCACCTGCAGCACCCCGCCCAGCCCTTGACTCGCTCTCAATCTGTCCTGATTCTGGTTTTATAGAACACCCTAAGGACACGTGTGGAGTAACAAAGGGCTTCTCCAAAGACTGGCGCCAAGGTCACAGGGCGGTCGCTGACGCTCCATGATGCGCTCACCTAGGTGCTGCCCGGCGGACGGGCCAGCTGGCTTTCGGAAGTGTATCCTGCAAGGTGAGGTGCCGCAGCCACTCAGCTGTCGGCCTCAGGGACAGCAGCGGGGTCCCTCTGAGGACCAGGAACCCCAGCCGTGGACACGCGCTTCAGCCTCGGCCGCGCCTTCGCCTGCCTCCCCGTGGCACGCCCTGGAGGCCGAGTGAGCCGCGCCCAGTCTCTGTGTGCAAACACTGCACACTACCCCCGGGGCTGTAACATGACACGGGGTCAGCGCCCAGTCTCTGTGTGCAAACACTGCACACTACACCAGGGCTGTAACATGACACGGGGTCAGCGCCCAGTCTCTGTGTGCAAACACTGCACACTACACCGGGGCTGTAACATGACACGGGGTCAGCGACCAGAGGGGAGACTTGTTCTGAGGAGGCCCCATTCCTCAGTCCTCACACCAAGCCCGGGGGGGGGGGGCTGTGTGCAAACACTGCACTGCGCGCCACTGCCCCGAGTGGGCGGAACTCAGCCCACAACCCACAGCCAGGAGCGCAGCGACGACACCACTCCACGCCCCCCGCAGCCCGTCTCGGGGCTCGGGGCTCAGGGCCGCAGGCAGAGGAGCATCTCAGAGCCGAGACGCCTTCACCTGCAGTGCTCACAAGCTGGGCACCCCCACCACGTGCGCTGCTGTGCCCGCGCCACGACAAACAAGGCCACCGGGAGCTCCCTAAGCAAGGGGGGCGGCAGGAAGCTGATGACACGGACTCTCGAGGGAGACTGTGAAGAAGGGCAGCAGGGCCAGCGTGGTCTCGCGTGGGCACCCAGGTCAGGCAGCAGCAGGGACAGAGGTGACCACAGTGCCGTGTGTGCAGACCCCGCGCAGCAGGGTGTGCGTGGCCACAGGAGCCGTGAAATGTCTCACGCACCCTTCTTCCACCCTCACCTCCAGGTCCACACAAAAACCTGTGGGTCTGGGTTTTTGGGTTTTTGTTAGACTAAAACAGTAACTACAGATGAAATGGACTGAGAGGAGTAGGGGCCGTGAGTGGCCTGTGAAAACGACAGGAACGGAAAGGAGGGAGGTGGAGAGGACGCTGAGAGGCTGAGAGGGAGCGGAGCAGGGACACGGGCGTCTCGTGGAGCCACCGCAGGTGCTCGGTGCGTCTCACTCACAGGGGCACTCAACAAAAAGCAACTTCACTGTGGGGTCAGCCCCAGCCTGTGACGCCGGCACCCACAGGAGCACAGCTGGGGTCCCGGCTGCTCCGCTTTTGATCCAGTTCCTTGTTAATGTGCAGCACAGAATGTCCCAAGTGTTTGGGCCTCTGCTACCCACCTGAGAGACCCAGATGGACACCAGGCTCCTGGCTTCAGCTTGCTCCAGCCCCAGCCACTGCCGCCATTTGGTAATAAGTTAGACTGATGATCTCTCTCTCTCTCTCTCTCATCTTTCTCTGTCTCTCCCTAACACTGTCAAATAAATAAATCTGAGAAAGCAAACAGCTTCACTGAGATTTAAAATCTGTACAGTTCTACCTACAGAGTTGTGATGACAACATCTGTAGAACCTACTCTGGGAACATTTTTATCACCGCACAGAGAAATTCCACAGCCCTGAGCCCACGCCAGCCCTGGGCAGCCATGGTCTATGTTCTGTCTCTCTTGCTTTGCCTAGCTGGGCCCCGTCCTACAGGCAGAATCCTGGAACACGCGGTCTCAGCACACGGCTCCTGAAGACGAATGGGAGTGTCTGGAAGAACAGGAGAGTGGAGAGAGAAGGAAAGGGTCGGTGACGATGCCATCTCAAGATGGGGACCCCAATCAACCAGGGGTCACCCAGGAGGGGCAGACACGGGGCTCCGGCAAAGCACAGAGCGCTGACGGAGCTGAAGGCCTCCATTTACACGCTGCACACAGAGACAGAGGGAGGAAGATGCAGAGGCCCCGGGGCGGGACTGCCTGGGGCGCAGAGGCCGCATCCTGCCAGGCGGACTCCTGGCCTCGGTAAGCAGAACGCCACTCCCGGTTTAATATGAGCAGCCGAGCCAGAGAGAGGGAGGGTTCCACCTGCTACTTCACTCCCCCAAGGGCCACAACAGCCAGGGCTGGGCCAGGCCAAAGCCAGGAGCCAGGAGCTCCACGCAGGTCTCCCACGTGGGCCGGCAGGGACCCAACCACCTGCTGCCTCCCAAGGTCTGGATTAGCGAGCAGCTGGAGCAGGAACTCAGGTGGGACGTGGGACGCGGGTGCACTACCTGCTGGCTGAACACCTGCCCCTCCTTTTTCCTTTTATTTATTTCATGGGGTTTTCAAAGGACAGAAAGCAACTACATGACTGAAGAGCTTCCGGAACGCATCGTGGTCTTCAATGCAGGTACGATTACTCTACACGCTGCCTGTACGTGCAAGTTTTCCAAGTTACTAGATAACAAAAAGACACAATGCTGTGAGGACTTCACGTTCGTCAATACGCTAAGGACTTATTTATTCAGAGTAAGACCCACCAAAGAATCGTTACCATTTTAAAACATGACTGTTATCCACAGGGCCTCTGTATCACGTTTGAATACATGCCAAGACCAAAAACATCCAATGCACAAAACTTAAATAAATAAAAACATTCATCACCCACAAAACGTGATTCTTTGCAAAAGGCTACGACAACACACGAAACGTGTAGTTAAGATAACTGGGAGTCACTAAAGGCGAAATTCACGTCCATCTAGCCTGGACCTGTCAGAAGTTCACTGTATACCCTTGGATAAATAATTCAGTGTCTTTAAGTTTTAAACAGGGATAAAACACACACTCCACATGACAGTATTACTTCTAGTTATTAATCAGGCTAAAATCCTTCCTGTTCAAAGCAATACATTAGAGTCTACTTTAAAAACCCACATTTTAAAGATGAGGTGGACCCTTCCGTGGCTGAAAGGACTAGCAGGACTTTACAATATTCTCTTTCTACGATTAGTTCGAGAGGCGATGTGACTTTCCAGAATATACCTATGAAGAACTGGAATTTAAAGGAGTAATCCCCAGAGAGCAAGCTGCACCCCAGCAGGGAGACACGGCAGGGAGGACCTCCCGGGGCGGCGCTTACCTTCTTGAACATGACGAGCGAGATGACGGCGGAGGCCGTGAAGAGCGCCGCTATGAGGATCATCATGATGCCCACCGGGATGCTCCTGTTGAGGCCCGTGAGGGAGGAGATCCAACCGCTGCGCAGCCAGAGAGAGAGAGGCAGCATCAGGTGGGGCGGCCGGCGCTCGCGGCAAAGACATCACCTGTCTGACACTTCCTGTCCACGCTCCTCACGCCTCCACCAACCCCCGTCCCTCCCGGGAGCGGCACTGGAGGATGCCGCTCGGGTCCTCTCTCCCAGGGAGCGGCCGCCCGCGCGGACCCCCCAGGGCCACTGCCACTCAGCGGCACAGCCCCGGCTCCTGGGCCTCCATTACACGGGGGCTGCGATTCTCAGGCCTACGAGTCCATCACTGTGTCTTTTTGTGCTCATTTTAAATTCTCCTGGATCACAGAATACAATATTCGCCAACTATTTCCAACAAAGGATTAGCACCTAGACTATGCAAAGAACTTTCAAAGTTCTGTGTATCCCCTAAAAAAGGCATTTAGGAAATGGGCAAATCCTGAAGAGTGGTCTAAGACGGCCACAGGCCCACGGACAGGCTCAGCCTATCAGCCCAGCCTCAGCGGCAAGCATCCACACCAGCAGAACCGCTACAGAGACAAGCGGGGACAGCACCGGGCGCCACGGGAGGCTGCGGAGGGCGTGGCCCTCACGACTGCCGCTGGGAGCCACCGCGGAACAGCCATGCTAGTCTGTCAGCTTGTTAACGTGCACCCGACACGCAACTTCTGCACAACCAACAGCACACTCGAGGGAATCCGCCCCCGAGAAAGAACACGCAGGTCCACACAATGACCTGGTCACGGGAGCTCACAGCAGCTCAACTCGTAACAGCACCACGCTGTGGACAATCCAGAGAGCTTCGACATCAGTAACACCCCGTGACGCAGCCAACCACGACTACTACTCCAGACCACGGGGATACACCGATGACACCCAGCCCGGAAGGGTCTCCAGAGAGCAGCCAGAGCCAGCTACTCTACGACTGTCCCTATGGAACACCCTCCAGAGGACAAAGTGACAGAACCCACACCCAGGCCAGTGCTGGCCAGGGCTCAGGGCCCAGCAGAGGCAGCAGCGCCTGAGTGGGGCTGGAAACCGGCCACACGAGGCCCTCTCTGGGACTAGGCAAACGCTGTGTCTTAACACCACCAATGCCGAGATTCTGGTGTTTGTACTTTACTACACTTTTCCAAGGTACTGCCACTGGAGGGAATGGGGAAGGGCCCTGGGCTCTCCATGCGCCACTTCTCACAACCACACACCGATCTCCGGGGCCCTCAAAATAAAAGCTCAATCTATGTGCATCCAAGTGACATGAGGTCGACCTGTGTCCCCACACATCCCAGTGACACGAGGTCACTCCTGTGTCCCCACACATCCCAGTGACACGAGGCTGACCTGTGTCCCCACACATCCCAGTGACACGAGGTCACTCCTGTGTCCCCACACATCCCAGTGACACGAGGTCACTCCTGTGTCCCTACACTTCCCAGTGACACGAGGTCACTGTGTCCCCACACATCCCAGTGACACGAGGTCACTCCTGTGTCCCCACACATCCCAGTGACACGAGGTCACTCCTGTGTCTCCACACATCCCAGTGACACGAGGTCACTCCTGTGTCCCTACACATCCCAGTGTCATGAGGCTGACCTGTGTCCCCACACATCCCAGTGTCATGAGGCTGACCTGTGTCCCCACACATCCCAGTGACACGAGGTCACTCCTGTGTCCCCACACATCCCAGTGACACGAGGTCACTCCTGTGTCCCCACACATCCCAGTGACACGAGGCTGACCTGTGCCCCCACACATCCCAGTGACACGAGGCTGACCTGTGTCCCCCACAGGGGCAGCCTCCTCCATGTTAGGCAGTCCTAACACAACCACCTCCTCAGTGCTAACATCCTCCCCTCACTGTGCTAAAACGCACAAGGAATGACTTCAAGTTCACCAGATCTTCTGCTACTGAAGTAATCGGTCTATTTTTAAACTCAGCATTTCCTCTCCCTAAAGTGCCAAAGACTGAAAACACTACTTAAAGTAACACAGAGAACTGCTTTCCAGGAACCAATCCTAAAGACCCACAGGAGTTTTCCGTGTGGACAAACGCAGCCAGGAGCCTGCGGAAGCGCCCAGCGGTCACTGCTGAGTAGTGGCCAGGACACAGAGCCACCCGTGCCCAGGGACACGGGCAGCAACACGTGGACGAATGCAGCCAGGAGCCTGCGAAAGCGCCCAGCGGTCACTGCTGAGTAGTGGCCAGGACACAGAGCCACGCGTGCCCAGGGACACGGACAGCAACACGTGGACAAATGCAGCCAGGAGCCTGCGGAAGCGCCCAGCGGTCACTGCTGAGTAGTGGCCAGGTCACAGAGCCACGCATGCCCAGGGACACGGGCAGCACCGCCAGCACAGAGCTCAACCACACACAACTCCAGAGACGAAGACAAGTAACTCAGAGACATGGATCCTTCCGCTCGCCATTTCACTAGAGATGTTTGCTGCTGCGTGGGAGAAAGGAGACCTAAGCCCGCTGCAGTCTCCCGGCCGGGCCGCACAGTTCCAGTTTCTGAGGACCCGCACTGGGAGAGCAGCCTTCCACGCTGAGACCCACGCTGAGAACAGCTCAGCACGCCAGACGCGTGTGTGCGTGGGTATGCGGGGATCGCACGCTCCACAGACCAGGTCCCTGCATGTGTGCACCGCAAGGCACGTGTGCTGGAGTGCTACAGCAGTACCTCCCCCGCAGCAGGGACCCTGCACCTGCCAGGTCGCCCGGTTCCTTTCTCTCCCATCCGCCACCCACGGCCTCTTCCTCCCACCCTCGGCGGCTGTGCAGGCCCATTCATACACACTTTCCTTCAAACGGCTTCTTGAATGGGGACATAATCTTCAGTGAGAATGGTCTGTCCAAAGGCTATGCCTCAGAACGTTTTTAATTGTTTTTCCTTTTACTATTTTTGGTTTTGTTTATATTTGCTAACTTGACTCTTCTGTGTTAACGATTTTAAGAAGCCGAAAGGTACATCAAGATACCAGGTTAACAACCTGAAATACGAAAGGTAAGTAACTTACCAATTTCCCCAATTATGAAATCCTGCAGCCTGCAGCACATGCACAGCGAACTGACAGATGTAGACGAAGAAGAACACGAAGAATCGGAATGAACTGTCACTCCTGGAGAGAGGCCAGAGGAGGGAGAAGGGTAAGAAGGCAGACGCGGCACCTCTCTCCCATCTTCTACACTCAGATGTAGACTAACACTCAAACCTCAGACAAAAATTAACAGAAAGGGGGCTGAAATTAAGTCATAATGCACTAATGTCTGGAAACCTTCACGCTAACGTCACATGATGCCATTGTCCCAAAGCCACTTTGTCACTTCAGTTGCCTGTGCCACAGTGCATCTTAACAAAGGAAACTATCTGGTTTTCCACTTGTCATTCCATAGCCTCATAGACTCATTATTAGTACGTAATAAACAACAAATACTTAAGATTCGCATTCTGACGGTATACATCAGGATCTCACCCATCCTCAAATCTCCAGGGGCCCCTGGGTAACCCTCTCCTCTAGCCGCTCCCTCGCCTGGACACACGTCTGGTCACTACAGCTGGTGCATTTCAGAGTCCTAGGTGAGTGGGTCCCAGCACACATGCCTACTGCTCCACTCTGCAGGGACCTGTGACTGGTGCGCGGCTGGGCAGGCTCTGGATGCAACGGGCTGCACTGCACTCCCTCGTGACGGTGGACACTGGCATCAGTTCCTAGGTTTGCACTGCTCCAAACAAAGCTGCCAGGAACGTGCATGCGCAAATGTTCACGTGAACAGATTGTCCTTGGCTTCCTGGATACGCATCCACAAGGAAAGGGCAGAAACTTAAGGCAGGTTTGGTCTGAATCTTTAATAAACTGCCATACAATCTTCAGGGGAGATTCTTCCATGTGCCATCCCATGGCAGTGAACGAACACCCAGCCCACCCTCAGCTCCCGGCACTGGGAATAAGCGGTATGCCCCACACAGCCACTGTGGTCAGTGTATTCAGTGTCATCCTTGGGTTTATTGACATTTTCCTAGTACACACCGTTACTGGTCACTGCGTCTTCTAGTACACACCATTACTGATCACTGTGTCTCCTAGTACACACTGTTACTGGTCACTGCGTCTCCTAGTACACACTGTTACTGAGTCAATCTGTCTCCTAGTACACACTGTTACTGATCACTGCGTCTCCTAGTACACACTGTTACTGATCACTGCGTCTCCTAGTACACACTGTTACTGATCACTCTGTCTCCTAGTACACACTGTTACTGATCACTGCTGTCTCCTAGTACACACTGTTACTGAGCTCACTGTGTCTCCTAGTACACACTGTTACTGATCACTGCGTCTCCTAGTACACACTGTTACTGGTCACTGCGTCTCCTTGTACACACTGTTACTGGTCACTGCGTCTCCTAGTACACACTGTTACTGAGTCATTTCGTCTCCTAGTACACATGCATCACTGCATGCTTTTTGTCATCCAGCTGAACGATAGAACAATTCAAAAAAAAAAAAAAGAAGGAGTTTTTCTGGTGAACTCTTTATTTAAATCTTTGCTGATATTTTACTTGGGTCGTTTTCTCCTTCATTTGAATTGGAGAGTTTAAAATACGCTGCACATACAGAACCTTTATCACAAATGGACTCACAAAGATCTTCCCCGTGTGTGGCTTATCTTTTCATCTCGGCGCGTCTTCTCAGTTCTGCCTTTCTCTCACCTCCACTTTATCCGTTTGCTCTTTCAAGGACGCTGACTATATTTTTGGAGCTCAGAAATCTTCTCCAATGTCAAATACACAAGTTGGGCTTTTTTTCTTTTTGGCCTGTTTTCCTAAATTTTCTATTTTTCAACTTTACATTTAAATCCATATATACATGATTTTTATTTTTTTCACACTAGAATAAACGTATCACATTTATTTACTTGAGAAGCAGGCAGAGAGAGCTGCCATCTGCCGGTTCACTTGCTAGATGCCCACACAGCTGGCAAGACTGGGCTAGAGCCAGGAGCTGGTGAGTGCTATCCAGGTGCCCCACGTGGCAGGGACCCGATCACCTGAGTCATCGCCTGCCACCTCCCAGGGTCTGCCCTGACGGGAGCTGGAACTGAGTCAAGACCGATGGAACCCAAGCACTCTGGACTGCGAGCCAAACACCTGTTCCCAAGCTTGCTTTTTAATTCCATTTTCCACAAACTTTTCCATGTGTCCCAGTATGTTCCTTTCGAATCTTTTTTTTAATACATTACAAGCATGGATTGAAGATTCCTGTATGTTTCTGCATACGGACATTCCACCATCCCAGCATCTGTTCTTTAAAAACCGTCCTTTTAGGGCTGGCACTGTGGCGCACTGGGGTAAAGCCCTGGCCTGCAGTGCTGGCATCCCATATGGGCACCGGTTCTAGTCCTGGCTGCTCCACTTCCAATCCAGCTCTCTGCTGTGGCCTGAGAAAGCAGTAGAAGATGGCCCAGGTCCTTGGGCCCCTGCACCCACGTGGGAGACCGGGAAGAAGCTCCTGACTCCTGGCTTCAGATAGGTGCAGCTCTGGCCGTTGTGGCCTACTGGGGAGCGAACCAGCAGATGGAAGACCTCTCTCTGTCTCTCTCTGTAACTGTCTTTCAAATAAATAAAAATAAATCTTTTAAAAAAACCTGTCCTTTCTGTGCTGCACTGCAAGTCCACAGCCTGCACCCAGGCGGGCGGACCTCTGAACAGGTGTACCTCTGAACTCTCGACTCCAGGAATTCAACGTTGCTTGAGACCGGTTCCGAGAGAATTCACCTGACAGTAACACTGACGCTTGTGACCGCGCAGGGCTTTCTCTGCATCCACAAATCCCTACGGGCCATCATGTGATCTGCAGACGGCTGTGCTTCTGCTGCCATATGTTTGCCTTCACTTCTCTGTCTTGCCTGCAACACTGGCCACACTGCACAGAAACGCTAAGAGCCAACGTCCTTCCTCACTCCTGATCTGCCCAGAGAGGTTTCCGTCCTCCCCAGCAGGGCGCTGTCAGCTGCCAGCTACAATGTTAACGGGCGCCCTTTCTACCTGTATGACCAAGTTCCCTCCCGGGCCACGTTTATTCAGGGCTTTTAACATGAACAGATGTGGATTGTGCCAGCTGTTTATACTGCATCAAGCAAGGTGAAAATGCAGTAAGAGAACATTATAGATGGACCTAAGCTACACAGTTCACACTGCCGTCTGCCTTAATTTACAATGAAATATCTACGCTATCAACAGTAGTAATTCCTCACGAATCTCCCTAAGTCTTCCTGTCTGAAGGAATGCATGACAGGCTTCCTATCACTTCCAGACCAGCCTGCCGGAGAACTGCATCCCAGGCAGCTGGCTTCGGTCTTCACTGCCAAGTTGCAACGTACTTTTAGCAAGAAAGTTCTACCCCAAATTACCACCTTCAGTTTCAGAATATACATCTATATGGTCTTGCAAAGTGATGGGTATTTTAAAGCCTGACGCTGGGGCTGGCACTGTGGTACAGCAACACTGGCAAACCTCATCAGGGCACTGGTTCAAGCCCAGGCGGCTCTGCTTCCGAGCCAGCTCCCTGCTAACGCGCCTACAAAAGCAGCAGAGGACGGCGCCCGGGCTCGGGGCTCAGGCCCCTGCCACCCACAGGGGAGACCCAAATGAGTTCCTGGCTCCCAGCTTCCGCCTGGAGCAGCCCTGACATTGCAGCCATTTGGGGAGTGAACCAGCAGACGGAAGATCTGTGTCTGTGAGCGTCACTCTGCCCTTCGAGTGAAATCCTTTTTAAAGATACACTGAGGTCAACGAGGCCTGAATCAACTCCTCCTGCCACAGCTCCACCAGTCCCTGAGACACAGGCGTGTGACAGCACAGTGTTGCTCCACAGTGCGAGTGACGACGGCACGAGACTGCCTTGTAAAGCGGACTTGCCTGCAGAAACAGCTCACTCCAAGAAGTAACAAGGAAATATCTGACAATGATTCACAGGTAGTAATTGTTAAAATATTTGAAGACCAAAAACATGTGTCTCCTGTCCAAAAATGAACTTTTTTTTTTTTAAGATTTTACTTATTTACTTATTTACTTATTTACTTATTTACAGTTACAGACAGAGAGAGGGAGAGACAGAGAGAGGTCTTCCATCTGCTGGTTCACTCCCCAAACAGCCACAATGGTCAGAGCTGGATCAATTCCCAGCCAGGAGCCGGGAGCTTCTTCCAGGTCTCCCATGTGGGTGCAGGGGCCCAAGGACTTGGGCCATCTTCTGCTGCTTTCCCAGCCCATAGCAGATAGCTGGATCGGAAGTGGAGCAGCCGGGACTCCAGTCAGCATCCATCTGGGATGCCGGCACTGCAGGTGGAGGCTTACCCTACCAGCCACTCACCCCACCAGCCACTCACCCCACCAGCCACTCACCCCACCAGCCACTCACCCCACCAGCCACTCACCCCACCAGCCACTCACCCCACCAGCTACTCACCGCACCAGCCACTCACCGCACCAGCCACTCACCCCACCAGTCACTCACCGCACCAGCCACTCACCCCACCAGCCACTCACCCCACCAGCCACTCACCGCACCAGCCACTCACCCCACCAGCCACTCACCGCACCAGTCACTCACCCCACCAGCCACTCACCCCACCAGCCACTCACCCCACCAGCCACTCACCCCACCAGCCACTCACCGCACCAGCCACGGCACTGGTCCCTGAGAAGGAGCGTCTCACGTCTCTCAACCTGCAATCAACAGGCAGTGGGGGAAAGCTTCTGCGGAGACTGTGGAGGACTGGGAAGCCACAGCTCCTAACCCTCAACAGCAACAACAACAGAAGGGTTGGACAACCTGCAAACTCACCGCTGTGCTTAAAAAGGGCTCTCCATCTCTCCGAAACCCAACTCGGGGAGAGGCCAAAGACCAGCACTCATTCACCTACAGCAGACACTGAAAATTATACACGAGAGAGAGAGACAGAGACAGAGAGACAGAGACACTGCAGCTGCAGGCAGCTCAGAGTGAGAACACAGAACCCTGGCCATCAGACACCTTGGACTTCACACCCACTGGCAGGCTCTGCCCCAAGCGCTCAGAAGAGGAACTGCAGGATTGGGGGCCAAGTGTGGGGCAGA